TCTTTGACGTAGTTACGAAATACCAGTACATGAGTTTTTAAAGTGAATCTGCTCATATGCTGGGATAAATAGAAGCCTGTATTTATTTGAAGCAGTATTTTATTATTTAATAATTTTGAACATAAAATTTTCGAATTATTTTTCTTTTATCCCTTTATACTTTTCCAAAGGGTATATAAATGTATCTTCTAGGATTGCTTCACTGTACTAGAACTATTTTTTAAATGCTTGGAACGCCATCTCTCTCCTAAATTCTCCTAATCAACTCTCCATTCTTTAGAATTAATTTGATAATATATTAAATAGAACCTGAGCCTTTCATTGCTATTAAAATGACACGCAATGCAAAAAATATTCTATAGCATTCAAAATTACTCATTAATTCGTATCCGAGAATTTATTTTTGCATTTTATAAGAAATAAATATAAATGAAAATAAATCAATTAATTGATTCATATAACATATTGAATAAAATAACATGGATCAATGAATCAGCGTTGTCAATAAATAAACAGGAAAAATGCATAATGGTTTTAAAATTATCAGATAAAATAAATTCCACCCGTAGAACTTGCATAAAGGCTAGTCCTGAAAGAACAATACTTTTGTTTTTTTTTTTAGGTGAAGAATATAATTAATCTTGATAATTTTAATCCTGATACATTCCATGAAACGAACTCCCTTTATTTTATTTGAAAGTGTTAACATTTTTCAGATAGTTCGCAAGTTAAATAACCGTTATTGCTGACACTGAACATGATTGCTAAGTAAATAAAAATCTCAGAGATTTCAATCAACAAGAGTTTTTTTATCTATTACTCTCATCAATACCAATATCAATTTTTTCAGTCTCCAATTCATCAAGGAAATCTGCGTTTATAATATACTCTCTTAGAATTGTTTCCAAAGAATTGAATCTAAGAGAGATAATATCTAGATCTTTAGACTTTTCATAATATAATTGGTTTTTTTCGGTCAAAGGAATCACTGACAAATTCTTCAAAAGCTTTCTTTTTGATCTTGACTTATACTTGCAACAATGGTTTTGAAAGATTCCCCAAGGGTTCAGGAGTGATCCACCTGTTTATTTAAAAATCAATTGTTATTTATTTTACAGTTATGATTATTTATTTAAAAAAGTGTTAATAAACTTACCAAATAAAATAGCATAAATTCCTAACAGTAAGCTAATTGCACCTCCAAGTGGACCAATATTGCTCAAGACCTGAGTAAACAAAATTGTGTTTAAATGTCAAATACATTTTAAGTTTGTTATTCAACAAATATTACATAACACTTACAGTTTCAAATCTAGAATGATAAAAAAATTCATTAGAGAGTTTATATTAGTATAAAATAAAATATTCAGAAATTTATGCAATCACCTTTTTTCTGTTTCAACAGTTTCAAAATAATTATTTGTATAACCATATGGTATAATGTATACTGTAGTCTGGTTTTCATAAGAACTTGTTGTATGTGCTTTTGAAATTAGAAAAGGTTGAATCACTATATATTTCAAAACTTTAAACAAATCATATAACTGAAATCGAAATTTGTAGTTACTTGATACTATTGGTTCTGCAATATGAAGTGAAACATGATGATTAGGAAAACCTAAATAATTTGTCCAATCACGAATTAAGTATTTTCTTCTAGTCCATTCAATAAAAAAATCATTTTCCTAATTTTAAATTATAAGTTGATCATATTAACAAATTTATTACAAAATATCAAAATATCAAGATATTAACTATTGATGTATTTAAATGGATACTTTGTTTTCTTGAATAATCACTCGGTTACTTTGGAGAAAATCTATATAATTTTGGAGGTTAGTTTGACCTGGATAATTATCTCTGATATCATCTAACTCTATTTTGTTTGACAGAATATAATAACAATTAATCATTAAATTAATGTATGTGATTTTAAAAGCTTTATAGTTACCTCCACCAAATGTAATAACACTAATGCCATTTCCAGTATGATTCCAATGAAGGAACAACAGACGGCTATTATTAATAGGAGTAAATTTGTAATATCTAGAACCTTCTCTGTCAACCAATTTAAAACTGGTGGAACAATTTTCTAGAAATAGTTTTATTAATGCTAAATTAAACAATTAAATTTTTAAAAAGCTGATATACATACCCCTCTTAGTATGAACATCATCATCATTAATAGGCATGACAGTAGCGCAATGTATTGTTACATTTTGATCAACCATACCAAAACTAAATGCTTTTAAAATAATAAGAAAAAAAAATTTTCCTAAAAAAAAAATTCCAAACAATTTATATTTCAATTATATAACAATCATTCACTAACATACAGTACCTGGAAGTGGTCGTTGAGAGTCTAACTTAGTAGTAGTATATTGAATTGAAGGCTCATCCTTTTTAATCAAATCGATTAAAACATATATATATACAATTAATCCACTTAAAAGGATTATTGAAACAACAACTTTAGTCCACCATAATAACATTGGTTCAGTCTTTTTGCGTCTTGGTAGTGTAAAAGTCAACATTATAAAGATTTTTTTAAGATTATTCATTATTCTTTTACTAATAAACATTTTCAAATGATAGCAATAGTTTCAGAATCAATGGATAAAAGTAACAAGGAAAAGGGCGACCTTTATATTCTTTGCATTCATGAAATACACGAATATTCATTTAGGTTTACACATATGAAAACAACTAAAAAAGGACTGGGGAAAACTTTATTGAATGTGACTGCTAATACTATGATTCGAAAGCGCTTTGAAAAAAATTGTGATCACTTCACTATAGATTCAGTTGATAGAAAATAGAAAAGGTCACCGATTTTATTATTAATATAATTCGAAGGAAAAAATGCCTCGGTTCGTAAATATAGAGAATGAAAAATGTCATTGGTTACATTATAATTCGCATTATTAATATTGAATGTCACCTTTCCTTTTTTTAAAGATACTTTCGAATCATAGTATTGGCGGTGACATACAATAGAGTTTTCCCGGTCCTATTATTAATAAAAAAAATTTTATCTTTATTATTTTGGTACTAAAAAAAAAAGTAAAAATAGTAAAAGAACTCCTTATGATTCGTGCCAAAGATATTTTTACTGCATATCAATGACAAAAAAAGTTATTTGCAAACTTTAACAGACATTCTGGAAGTAATAATAGGATTTTGAGATCGTTTATCATACATTGCTATCAAGGTTTTATCTTCCAGTATCACAAAGATATTTTTCGTGTATTACTTTAACATCATTCTTGTTTGATTGCAGTAGATGATGAAATATTTTTAATTTTTACTCATTTTAGTAACACAAAACTTTTGTAACTATTTTTAATTAATAAAGGTAAATTTCACGTCCTTCCTTGGCTATTTTGGATTCGCATTATTATAATATTAATATTAATATTAATATGATTTTTGTCATTTAATTTTAATTTGGCGGTCGGTACAATATATAGAGTTTTAATGTGTGATCGACCCCTTTAATGGATGTTCAAGTGTTTTTATATACCAAATTTGGAATTTTCTAAATATTGTTCTAGAAATTTATCAATGCGTCGAAACCTGGCGAGAGCTTTATTAAATAGTCATATAACTCCCAAAATTATACAATACAATATGTGCATTTTTAACTTTTCTACAAGCTTACCCAGGATTAAGCAATACCAGAGATGCTATTTTTCAACTAACATCAATAATAATTTTTATTCCTTTAAAAATATTCTGAAGATGTTATTAAAATAATTTATCAGGCTGCCATTCATCAGAATAATACACTTTATTTAATTTTTGAATTTGAATAAAATAGTGTCTTGATAATGTCATCGGAAATATAAATTTTTTTACCAATTAACTCTATATATCATTATCATTGTTAAATAATAAAGGATGCATAAATTTCAAATTCCATACAGTAAAAATATATGATGACTCCAATAATTCTAACACATTGAAACTACCTGATATAAAATAATATATTTGGAGTTTTCTTATGCTTACATTTCATACTGAACTACTTTAGTGCTCCATGTTGCAATACAAAAAAAAGAAAACAAAGTAATTAGGTGTTGCAATCATTTTTATATGATGCAAAGGTGGTTAGAACTATTACCAAAATTGCATCCGGTATCCATAAACATGGCATAAACTGGCTTTCTGGTCATTTGTTTGCAATATCTTCATACAAAACATAATGGTCTAATGTTTACTGTTACTAACTGTTAGAAATTAAAAAAAGAGATTTTAAGCCAATAATTTCCTATATGTAAAGTTGCGTGGATTCCAGTAGATTCTTGAAATATATTATATTCGGAAGAATTTATTTTGATTATTATTAACAGAAATTTTTTTAAAAAAAATTTCTTTCACAAAGCACAACATGTCATATTAAATCGTTTATATAATAAATAAATATAAAAAATGTTCAGGCAAGTACAGCACAATCAATCAACTGGTTATAGCAACAATTGGTCAACTCCAAAATACTGAAAGAAAAACTTTTATTGTTCGTCAGCTAGTTTTTTTGAACTAAAAATTGGCCAAGCCTTGGCATTTTAAAAATTAAAATAACATAAAATTGAATCATAAATATTATGTTAATATATACCATATCATATCAACCAATTTGGTTTTTTAGGCCCTTTTTTCAAACCTTATGTCATTGTGTCTTGATGTTAAACACGAGTATTTTTAATGTGTAAACTGGTCGGTAGAATGATAGTGAGTCTATACAGGTTCCGTATTTGTACATCTAACAAAAATATGGAATCGAAGATTGTACAGGTACATAATCTTCAGAACCTAAGCTATAAACTAATATACACTTATTATGTATGTTTTTGTGTAATTAACACATTTAGGGTGTCTGATTCTTTTGTTCAGGCACTGTATAATTTAAAATATAACATTATAATTTTTTGTAAACTCAAATATGGAAATAGTTCAAGCTAATACAATTAGTGTGACAATACTAAGTTGAAATAGAAGCAATTCTAACTTCAAGTGCAACATATAGTATTTAGATTTTATCAACGATAAAACAACAAATGTAATTGTGATCTCCAAACATCTAGATATATACAAATGTTATAAGTGGCATCACTATTTAAAAAATTATTGCTTTAATCAAGATTTAATCAGATGTGGCTATGACTGAGGTAATTTACATATGCACTGATTTTGTTTAAGCCTCAAAATTCAGTACAGTATGATGAATATACAAAACCCCATTGGTTTTGAGGTTGAGCCATTGGTTTGATGGACTGTTGAATAGTAAAATAGATTTTTAGTGGAGCAAATAAATTTTTTTAGGGTTAACTATCATTCAGTCAGTAGAGATTCTGTACAACTTTCAATTCCATACATTATTTTTTTTTGTTCCGTACATTTTTTATTTTTATTTTTTAATTTTGTACAGAATGGAATTTGTGAATTCTGAAATTAAAATAGAAAAGTTGATTAGTGGGGGTCAGTCTTAAAATCTTATGTCACTCAATCCACTAGAACTTAAGCAATTAAAAATAAAACATGATCATTTTTTGACAATTTCTCTAAAGGCTATATAATAACATGTTTTGAAATTGATACATATGATGATTCAAGATTCTCTGATTCTTGTGATGGATTTTTTTTACATTTTCTTGTTTAAAATTTTTTTTTTGATTTTAACTAATAAAAATTGATTAGTAAATCTTCAGAACCTAAGCTATATATGGGCATACTGCAACAAAACCAGACAAAGTGAACATTGGTATTACCAAGGATTTCAGGGATCAAAATTTAGTCATCATGAAAGCAATTAACAATTTTATAATGTCCCATTTGTTACCTTAAGTGATATATAGAATTATCCCTATATAAAAATAGTAATATGAAGCTTGTTTACATCAGATCCCAAGAATTATAGTACCATCAGAAGTATTCTAAAAAAGGAACAAGGTGAGAAAATTGCACCTTATATTTCAAAATAAATGATACTCGGGCATTGGAAGCTTATCTAAGAAAAGAAAGGATTACTTATGAAATTTATCAAGAAGAATGAAAAATAATAAACATTAAAGAAGGAAAGCAGAGTGATCATTTAGTAAATCATGAAGTAATTCCTAATTATTATTTTAATTGACAACTTTACATAGGAAAAAGGCACTATGCTTTAATACTGTAAAACATATTTTTTTTATTTTATGTTATGAAAGCAAAGGTTTAAAGAATATTGAGAACAAAGAAGTTTGCTTTTAGTGATGTAGAAATGAGTGAAGTTTTTTTATAAGGAAAACATCAGTTAAATTCAATAAGTTATCTTTTTAAGATCCTACATTCTACATAGTCCTCAACCAATTTTTTATCAATATTTTAAATTTGAGCAACTTCTTGAGTAATTCTTAAATTAGGATTTTTAAAGGGTGTGCCTGCTGTTGGGCATAACCACTCACTATAAACTTGATGGGGAGGTGTTGTGTAGGAATCTTCTAAATAACTTATGGCATTTTCCTGTAGATTCAAATTTTGTGTCAGTTGACATATTTTTAAAATAGATAACAAAATTTTAAAGGTACAATTATAGGAACAACCTTTGTACTCATAAGTAATTGGTGTATTCTCATTACATCCTCAAGATTTTGCACTGACTTTGGTATTTGACATTTGGATATTTCCATCATTAGATATATACCAGGCATATAAAGTTCCATAATAAATACACATAAATTAAAACCATTAATAAGAATGATGATTTTTTTGTTTCATCTGGTTTTAAACTCTTATTTTTTCTTATATCACTGTCAATAGCATCTTTTGCATGGATCCCTTCCCTGTAAATATCCCAATATGGTTTTATTTTGCAATTTTGTTTCCAAGGACCTGTTATTTCTGTAAAAATACTAGTTTTTGTTCCATCTCGGTTACCAGAAAGTCTGGAAAGATAGCATCCCCTTTTTACATATGTGTAACATTTTTTTTATATTGATGCTCAATTGTTTTAAAATAGGGGGTGCTATCCTTCCAGACTTTATGGTATTTAACATAAAATCAGGCATTCTACCATCACATCCACCTCGTCTTTCCTTTGAGGGTTTTGAATGAACTGAGATCCTGCAAAATAAATAAATGTAAGCCATAATTTCTCATTTTATTATTGTAGCAATTAACTAAGAATGTATATATTAAATACCATGAGAATGAAGTTATATAATTAAAAAAATTTATTGTACTATTGAATATTGGTCCAATTTGATTAATGATGTACATTGGTTCTAAGGTTTCTGGTCCAAACTGTTTTCTCAAAGCCCAAACTAGTTTGGGCAATTTGGGCTTCTCAACATTTTCTATAAGCATGAACATTAAAAAACTATATGAATCAACTTGTTTTAACTTAAACAGCTTTAAAATAATTTCGCCCAATTTCGGCTAATAACAAAAAGTAGTTTGGGCTTATAAAAAAATAATTTTTGCCCAAAGCATTTGGGCAATTTCGGCTACTAATTGAAGCAGTTTCGACCAGAAACCTTAATTGGTTCAGGGCTTTTCTCTAAGTTTTGAAGTACTATCCCAAAGAATATATTCATCTAATAGTTTAAAGAAGGTTTGGTTGATCAAATTGGATTGACATTTCCCATGTTCTTTAATTATAATCTGTTGTATTTCATCTATACTATCCATCTTAAATTTCTAACAAAATTTACAAAACATTCATGAGAATAACTTCAATCAAATATAAAATAATATAAAATTTAACAAACCCTCTTATTATCTGCAACAAATTGTTTAATTTCCTCTGTGATTCCAATAAATTCAAATTTAGACATCATATGAGATTTCAATTCACTAAATTCATGATCTGTCAAGAGATCTTGATTTTTGTTTTGTCCCTCAAAATAAAAAACAGATGAAATATTCAGCAAACTTTGTACAGTGAACCCTCCCTAAGTGCACCCTCCCTAAATGTATGCACTATGTATACCCTCATAAATGCACACTCACAAGAAATAGCACTATGTTCCCAAGGGGGTGCACTTATAGAGGGTTCACTGTATATTTTCTTTTGTAGGATAATTCACTCCATTGCAATTTTTGGTCTATTTATATGTTTTTGTGGTAATTTATTAGACTACTCAATCAATGCACCATTTGGCCTCAAAACAAATGCTAATCTGATTGTCAAGTTGTTTATGGACATGCATACACATGCAAAATTGTGTAGTCTATTTTATGAAAAATTACATCATTGTGCAAAAGGATGCTTGGGTGTTCCGCATCCAACTATTCAAAAGAATAATTCATCTTTTCATTACTGCCAAATTTAGAAATGATTATCACAGGCTAGTCTAAATTTAGTAACAATATTAGCGGCATTTCATTGTGAACATTGTAAACTTGTGCAACTTTGAGCCATCTAACTGCGCAATGCTATGACATATCAACAAAGTGAAATCGTAACTTTGTAGAGAAAGGACTTAGCTTCAAAATTACAGCTTATTTTTTTGGTGTTACATTTCCATTTTTAGAGTTAGAGAAGGATCTACAAGGCAAATAAAAAGTTGTAGGACTAGGTGTCTCGCACTATAGAACTGTTATTTTGTAGTTTGAGTTCTAAAGAATGATTGGTTGAAATTTTATGTCTTTTCTATTAGTAAAGAGTTTGTTACTGACGAACAAATATGGCTGTATTATAAAATCTATATTTAATGAAGATAAGAAGGAAAAAAGAAAAAAGAATTATCTGGTTGCAGTATGTAATAATTTTTGTTAAATAATTAATTTTAATATCAAATGTAAATCCATTCTAATATTTTTTTTTCTTCAATTAGATTAATATGACTATTGATTTAAATGCTAGAAGAAAAAATGCACCTCAATATTTAAAAGAAGTAATTAAATTTGGAAAAATTTTATATTATATTATTCATAATTATAATGGAAAAGACCATATGCTAGCACTAGTTCACTTCACTACTGATGTCATAACAGATGAATATGGTCTAAAATATTTTGAAGATTATGGCTCGAATAAATTTATAGAAATAATTGGAATTGACCATTGTGTAGGATTTTTATCTTTTAGACCACCAAATAGAAAAACTGAAATTAATTGTATAATTGATGATGATATAGACTTTTAAATAAAACTAATGTTGTATGCTCTTGAAATAGGAAATTTTCCATATAAAACTGTACAATTTTGGAATGGAAAAATTCCCAAAATTTTCCAGTATAAAATCATACATTTTCAGAACAGAAATTTTCTGGTACAAAACCATACATTTTCCATAGGGCATGGCCTTCCAGGCAGGACAGACACATGGCTGCCAGCCTGGTGGGTTTTGTCCCAAAACCCCCAGTTTGGCATTGTGTAATCCTTTCAAGCTCTTTCTAAAACAGAGCAAGGCATATTTTTAATGGCACAGATTAAAGCAATGGATGGTGGGTCAATAAGCATTAGTAGATGCCTTCATCAGGAAATTAATTTAGCATAAACTTGCATAAATCTTACGATGCTGATGTAATATTGTGTAAATCTTATAGTGCCAACGTAAGTTTTACACTTTTTTATTATTAAACTTACAATTGACACGTGTAAAATTTTTTTATATTTTCCGGATGTTAAAAGGAAAACCAGATCTAATAAAAGAACATCAGAAATATCCATGCCACACACCCCGAAAGGCAGAAGCTTTATCCATTGTTATTCCATGGATAAAGGATTTGCCTTTCGGAAAATGTCCGAATTAGGTGAATTTAAAAAATAATATATCAAAAAAATTTTACCTCATTGTCAAGCAATGCAAATATATTCATATATTTTGAATTTCTTTTTACAAAAAGAATCAGTAATAATAAATTCAAGTAAGGTTACATTCAACTTATGCTGTTGTGATTTTCCATGAGGTATTACTCTACTAATCATTGAACTGATTGTTGGTTGTTGTATTTTTTGTTCCTATAATATAAGTTTAATTTTAAAATTAAATATATTACTTATGAATAATATTCTTTTATCAAAAATTATATTTACTTTTTTTTCTGTCTTCAGTTTTATTATGCATTACATTCAAATGGTATTTCATGTTTGAAGTAGAACCTGTGAATTTATAAGATGCATTGCATGGTTCTTCTTTTCCATTTTTTATTATAGGAATTATACATTGAGCTTTTTCATTCTCGATTTTTTTAAAATATTTCCATACAAAGCTTTGATTTTTTGATAATTTTGGTTTTTTGATTTGTTGACTATTAATAGGCGATTCTAAAAAAGAAATTGAAGAAGATATGACTGATTGTGATTCAAATGAAGACTCTTCATTATCTCTAAAGTCAAAAAATCCTGAACAACCATCATTTATTTCGTTATCAGCCATTCTTTATTATAAAACAAAAGAATAAAAAGAAGTATTAGTTTATTCATTCTTCCTACGGTGCAGATCACCTATAATCATTAATTGCTTATAGTAACAATTGGTCAACTTCAAAATACTAAAACAAAAAAAAATTATAGCATTTTAAAAAATTTAACCGATAAGTTTTATTGTTCATGACTCAAGCTTCAAAACTTATCAACTGGTTTTTCTTACACTGAAATTGGCAGAGCCTTAGCATTTGGAAAATTCCGAATTTTGTTATACATT